TGACAGGGAGGTACTAAAAAGAGAGGTAAGAGAAACCGCCTGGAAAAAAGCCGTATGGGACCCATGCTTGCTTGTTAGAGCATAATTCGGAAAAGGCATGTCTGACGAGTTCTCGCTTGTTGCCATCAGCTCTCTCTCCTTATCACCTCACTCTCCCCATACGAAATGGGAAAAGTTAGTAGCCAAACAACCCCACCACTAGGAATACTCAAAAAAAATGGAAGTTGGGCGTTGCGGAGGACGGTGGATGGTGCGCGGTTTGGCGTTTTTTTGAGCTGGTAAAGTGGTACATCATTCATGCTTGCTTACAGGACTAACATGTCCCTTGCAGCAAAGCGTGCTTGCAAGGATTTACTTTACGTGAGAACTTGAGAGTCTAGCTGTCGAGTCAGTTCTCGTTCTGTTACTAACGGGAGCCTTCAAAGGTATTCACTCACTGAGCCTACGCTCTTTGAAATTCTATTGGTATCAAAGGGTATAAAAGAACGAAGAAAAAGCTGACCTTTATCAGTTCTTAATGGTGTAACTTGCCGGTAAAGGGAGGGGGTCATATTTGCTGGTGTCAGAATTAAACAGAGCAGTGGTGGCAATGTTAGTGGAACACTGCCGCAAGACCTCAAACTATGGATCGCGGTACGCCGTCGCGTTAAAGATTCGTGGCAATGAGCAGTGTTAAGGAGTTATCCCAGCAAGGAACAAGGGAGTAACCGAAGCCAACATTTCTGCTCAAACAGCTTTACTAGCACCTGGACATGCTTGTCGGATATGCTTTTCTACGACGTCTGGGACCGTATGTATACTTCCCTTCGGAGGGGAGATTTCCCCCGGCAAATCTCCGCTCTCTGCTGTTATCTCTATCAATGCCCTCGTCTCTCTGCTTCTGCCTATCTGCATCTATGTCTCCCCTCGACGGGAGACGGTCAAGAGAATCGTAATTTGCCGCTCCACCGCGCGGCGATGGGCGCGGCGTTTTCTTAACTCGTGTTAACCTGTCGATTGGAGCACCGGACTTCATGTAGACCCCGTCATCGTAGACATTCATGACTATTTTCGGTTCTGAATTGCCTGTTGTCGCCATCTACCACCTGGAACCATCGTCATTTGTGGGCGCGACGTTGCACGCGACACCCACCAGCGCGGTTACGATTCTCTTGTGACATATCCCCCTCTCGACACTCTCGCGGGAGACGGGCAAGAGAATCGTAATTTGTCGCTCCGCTGCGCACGGCGATGGGCGCGGCGTTTTCCTAACTCGGTTAATCTGTCGACTGGAGCACCGGATTTCACGTAGGCTACAAAACTGTAGACATTTATGGCTATTTCCGGTTCCACATTGCCTGTTGCCGCCATCTACGACTTGAAACATCGTCATTTGTGATCGCACGCGATGCCAATCAGCTCGGCGAATTAAGATTCTCTTGTAACATACACCTCGCGGAATGTCCTCCAACGACGTTTGCTGGGGAGAGTGGCGCATCGATCCATTAATATTATGTGGTTGTTGCGGACGGTTTGGCGTGTAGCCAGAATGAGTGGCACAGGTTGAGGCGTTCTCGTGCCTCCTCTGTTCACGCGTAATGCGACAGAACGGGTAGAAAAGAGTAATACGATCCGATATGATACAGTCATATCATTTCACGCGTCAAAAAACGTTATGGAGAATTGGTTTTGGTATCAGCGGCCAAACGCACGCCGCACAGACACGCCCAACCGACGCAGAAGACTATACTAACTCTGCATTGCACTATATTCGCACACAGCATGTGCCAAAAGTGTATGAATGGAGAGCGGTGAGAGCCAGAGAGACTAGGAGCTTCAGTAGAGATAACGGCAGGTATTGGAGATTTATAAGGGGGATCTATCCCTTCGAGTGGAGTATAGCATACGGCCCAGAAGTGGCTTTTACCGATGAGGGGTCATCTAGTCTCGTCAGGGAATCAGGACGTCATCGGATTAGTCGGAACACCGAAAACTCCCACCTGATGACATACAGACTGATTCTTCGTAAATGTCGGAAGCTGTTCTTCGAATGCCTCTGTTGAGGAGCCTTCAGACGATGTTATCGCCTTAAAAGAAACAAAAGGCAGGACGGAAACCCTTACAAAACCGATCACAACGAGCTGCTCATTGTTGAAGCCAAGGTGGATGACAAGACTATCGGAGGAGTTCGATTCCTCGTAAGCTTAGCAGTTTTCCACCTAGTTGCTCTCACAGAATCGTTCAGCCACGTTCATCTGGCTGTTCTACTTCTTCAGACCAGAAATCGAGGTACCGTATCCAACATCAACGGATATGCGCCAACCTCCGCAGCTCCAGATCAGGGACGTGAAGAATTTTACCAGCCTCTTGAAGAGACGGCTCAGAATGAGAGAAACTGCGAAACGTATGTTGTTAGCGACTTTAATGCCGTTGTAGGCATGAACCGCAATGGATTGGTGAATTCGGGCCAGGTGGAGGTAACACCCGATCAGTATGGAGAATGGCTGCTCGATTTTTTGTATGCATGCCGTCTTTGCTACGTGAACTCATCTTCGAGAGGCCTGTCAGACGACGATGGACCCAGAAAGTCCGAATGGACAAACACCTAAGGAAAGTGATCACGTGTCAACCATTCGACGATGGAGTCTACTCGACGTATCAGTGCTGCCATTATTCGAAAGTTGCTGAGACCATCGTTTGATGTGTGCCAAAGTATGTCAAGAAGAAATATTCAAGCGCGACAGGCATAGGTCCTCACCTTCGGTGACTCTTTCCTACAACAGCGAGCAAGTAGGAGCTGTCATTGAGGTTTACAGCTGGAATCTGCTGAACGACCCATCCTAAGACAACAAATATCTTGGTGAAGGTGCGCCCAAGTGCGCACACGGCCAGTCTACCCCAAGGCTCAATGCTCTCGCAAGTGCTTTGTTAGAAAAACGAGGGCTGTGGAACTGGATCTTAGTGCAATTGGAGAAGTTCACCGTCAACAAGGCATGCCTCTTCGCCGTTAGAGAATCACCTTGAGTCTACAGAGAACTAGATTGTTGAAAGCGGCGGAAACAAGATCGAGCATCAAGCGCTGTAAACGGATCTCAACCATCGAAGAACTTCCATTTCAGCGCATACAGACAAAGGTGGAGGGACAAACATTAGAAGATCTATCGAGAACATCGTTGGTTAATTCTACACACAGCTTTTCCGCCCGTCCACAACTGTTCCGAAACCACTTTACCGCCTGCTGGAGATTTCACTCCAATCTTTTAATCAAAAGTTGCAAATGCGATAAAAAACACATGAAGAAAGACCGCCCCCACCTAATCCCAATGGCTAACAGTCGAGCTTCTCCGTGCAGAAGGAAGTCTCTTTATTCTGTTCTCGCTAGGCACTTCAATCATGACTCGAGATTAGGAGTGGTTCCAGAACAAAAAAGAGCTTTCGAAAACATCAGCAACCCCTCAACTGTTCGAGCGCAAGTTGAAGATACCCACTGAGAAGAGGTTGCGGCAGGGGGGGGGGAACACGATATCCCCGAAGATGTTCACGGCTGCATAGAGTATTCGATGTGAAACCCCAACTGGGATGACAAAGGATACCTAATGATGGGAAAAATCAGCAACCTTCGTTTCGCCGGTGACGTCGTCTCAATATCCAGTAACACAGTCGAAATAAAAGAGATGGTAAATGAGCTTGACATTATTGGTCTGAAGATTGGCTTGGAAATGAATATGTCGAAGACGAAAAGGATGGTGAACCAGTGGTGTTACTAAGAATAGTAAAATTGGCACTAGATGCTCTTCAAAGATTGGATTCTTACGTGTAACTGGAAAGTAAATTTGCTGAACAATACCTCTTCCAAATGAGCCGCAGAAGACCTGCCGCAAAGGGCAGCTTTCAGAACAATTGTGAAGTAGCGGAGCATGTTAAGAGCCCTGATCTCAGAGTCTCAATTTTCGACGCGGCGGTTTTAGCGAAGTGCTACGCGACCGGAACCAGGACAATCATCAAGGCAATATAAACCACGCATCATGTCCTGGAGAGATGTCTTCTTAAAGTTGACCTCCGCTAGCAATGGCAACAAGGCTAGGGAGTACAGAAGGGAGCGGTCTTTATTGAAACATCCGCTGCAGTATATGGCGCGATGCAAACACCGCTGGGCTGGTCACGTTCTCCGCTGCAACGATGGATGGAGTCTCCGTGTCACAGAATGGCTCCCAAGAAACGCAAAACGGCCTTCGGGGCGGTCCACCACACCTGATGCAAGTAGCCAGAAACTGTGCCTCATGAAGCTCTGGGTCTCCACTGAAATCGCACCAGCTAAAGAACCATCAAAGTAAAATAAGTGAATGAAATTACCGAATTGCAACATAGATGCGAGTTACTTTATCTTAATATGCGACGAGTTCATGAGTGGGCTCGGAGGTTTTAGAACGAATTAGGTCCATGTTCCTCAGATCCATATTTTTACGTCGCTGCAGCCCCGAATGAAAGGCGACTGCTGGGAGCATTCCACAAGGAAAGTTGTTAGCGCCTCTATACCTTAACTCTTACTCAACACACTGAACGCCGCGTGAATTGCTAGCAATTCACCCGCTTACTTCGCTTCCGCGCGTTTATGTAGTGCCTACGATTCACTTTTGTGGGTCAATTTCTTCCTAGATATCCATGCATTTGTAAGTCATTCTTGTCGAGTACGTGTTCAATGTGCTTTACTTACTCTACACTCTCCATAGCTTGAAGTAAGGTGTTCATAAGGATCTTTTTCTTACTCGACTAAATAGCAACCCATGAACGGAAATCAACGGCAATTGCACTTCATTGATCTTTCTTTTATTATACAGGGGGGGGGGCAAAAAAGTCACTTCGACCGAGTCACATATCAGCAAAGTTTTCGCTGCCCAGACAGAGGACGTGGATACGAGTACCAGGGCGGAAGATACCCAAGATGTTCCTCGATAAGCAGGAGCTGGCTCTCGCCCATCACCTCCAGTCGCAGCCTGACTGGAGAAGACCTTTGGAATTCATGTCACCTCCAAACAGCTGCGAAACTTCTAGTATGGAGTCACCCATGGATAGCTACCTGGAACCAGTACTCTCTATCTGGATGATCTCCAACATCGAGCAGCTCCGACAAGTCGACCAGGTCTAGGACAAACTTGTGTACTGAGAGCATTGGTGCACCGTAAATGATCGAAGGCGTTGAAAAAACGCTCGCTAACTTGGAATGGGAGGGGTTGGGAATACTAAAAGTAAGGTGAATATCAAAGTAGGAATCACTGATTATTTTAGCCCTCAATCAACCGGTCGGAGCGGAGTCAAATAGGTGGTCTAGGGTGGCAGAGAGATATCTCAGCTGATCTGCAGCACCCTGCGGTCGGTGCCAGAATCTCTGAATGCGCTCGTACAGAAGCAGAAGGCTGTGGCAGGAGTATCATTGATGATTATATTGAGTATCTTCTTGAATAATGGTCGCATAAAAATGTTCAATTAGATTCAAAATAGTGGTACTTAAGCGCTACGAAGCGTTGAAGAAAAGTGGTTTTTTTGCGCTTCCTTAAGCGATGTTGGTAATTATGATGGTTACTCTAAACTAATACAGCAAAATACAATGCGCGAGCCATAAATTGTGCACATATTTGAAAATACCCAAAGTGGATACTGTGGTAATAGCATTTCTGATGTTGATCTACGTTTGACGGCGTTATCGTTTGCCCTTAGCGCCTGATATTCCAGAACAAGATGGTCGTAAATACTGGTCTTGTTATGATTAGACTCCATTCATTTGTGTACAATTCTTTTTCCTGTTTGCCACCATAGTCGTCTTGCTAGGCGTCAGCTACAAGTCGCTTCCTGGATTGTTCTAAGTAATCAAATTCCTCTTTATCACAACGTTAAGTTGTCAAAACTAACATTGATATCCTCTACTTAGTTTTCTAGATCCGCGTATGCAATTTAAACTTGATTTCTTTTCCAAGCTTGGTTATGATTTCTTTGGATAATGTTCACGCGAGAAATAAGCGCAAATGGAAGCAGAGTGAGCGTGCAAAGGGCATCCCACACAGAGACTCCCAATGAGTAGCCTTGTGCATTCCAGACGATTCACGCGCGCGGAGAGGCACAGGCAGGGAACAGGAGTTGCAGCGAAAACGCCGCGGCGTTCAATGTGTTAGAGCATGTAGAAGAGGTGTACTGAAAGTCTTCCGAGGTCTCTGAGTGGCAATGAGGGATGCATTGTTGGGCGCTCCGCTTGCTGCAGCTTGAGCAAATCTTTTCAATAAGATCGGCGACCATCGCGTCTCCGCTATAGTAGAGCAGAACGGAAATTGTAGCAGAATTTCTGTAGCCACTGGGAAGAGAAAATCTTCTAGTTTCCAGAACTGTGTGAACTTACGCTCTACGTTATGTGTGAACAAAGTTATGGCCACTAGAAGATTAAAAAAACTTTTGCTTGCCAAAGCCTTGCGCGTTATTTGCCATTATCGACGGGCGAATTTCGCTACAGCACTTCCACAAAACTGTTATATTTTTTGAATGAGATTTATTCCAGTTTCCCATACGTGCAGGTTTTGGTGGCTTTTCGAGTAAGAGGATATGCGCTCACGCGCAAGTTTTGGACTACAGGAACTATTAGGATGGAAAGAAAGTCCTGCGACACTTTGATTAAATTGCTTTAGAAAAAAATCAAAAAGCATTTCAAATGTTTTCACCCCTGATTAGTAGAAAGTTGTTTTCTGAAGTTTTTGTGAACGAGTTATGACTTTGTGGAAGTTTCCAAAGCTTGAAGGTCCCCAAAGGTCAAGGTGTTTTCTGACCTCTCCAATATTAGGAGTCTATATTAGGAGTCTAT